TTTCTTTGTTTTTCTTTTTGTTTGCAGGCGCTCGGCTAGCTCCTCGTAGCTCTCGATTAAATCTGTCTATGCACCGAATGAAGAATAGAAACAGTGGATGGGGCCCCCTTGGGGGGGGCCCCCCTGGGGTGTCTGGGGGGGGCCCCCCTGGGGTGTCTGGGGGGGGCCCCCTTAAGGGCCCCCCTATAGAAGGGCTTAATGAAGATAATGAGAGTCTACCAACATTGCTGCTTTATTCACCTGTCTTTAATAAAGCAATCTCTCAAGAGCTGCAGCAAAAGGAGACAGCTGCGAGGAGACAAAAAGGAGACGGTGAAGGAGACAGCGAAGAAGATTTAAAGGCCAAGACACAAATAGAGAGAGCGAAACTACAGCATAATCCTAAAGATGCTGACGCTTGTTATAAACTAGGTGTGCTGCTGTTTAGGCGGGGAGATGCAGCAGCAGCAATTCAGGAGATTCAAAGATTCATAGCTGATAACACTCAAACCCTAAACCCTAAACCCCAAACCCTAAACCCTAATCAGCACCAACACACAGATTCCCCTTCCATATCCAATGCGAAACACACACAAACAGAAACAGCAGCAACAGCAGGAACTGCAGCAGCAGCAGGAGCAGCAGCAGCAACTGCGAATGAAGCAGCAGCTGCCGATGAGCCTACAGCAGCAAAAGGAGACAGTAAAACCCCTACCCCTTCTCCTCGTCTCTCGCAGTCTGCTGCATCCGAGCAGTTACTTCCGGAAGCAGCAGCAGCAACGGAAGCAGCAGCAGCAGCAACAACAACAGAAGCAGCAGCAACAGCAGCAAAGGGTTCTGCTTCAGCAGCTTCAGGAGATTCGCATGCCAGTCCTGCAGCAGAGAGTAGCAGGGGCCCCTCCCCTGCTGCGCGTGGGGGCCCCCCCCAAAGTAATGTCTTATCATCTGTAGACATAGGAGAGACAGACAGAAAGGAGACAGTTAGAAGACCCCCAAAGGGTACAGCAGACTCTAGGGATGCCCTTGATATAGTCAAGGATGAGCACAACCAGGAGGCAGGGGGGCCCCCTACAACATCAAGCGGCCCTAAAGAGGGTGGGGGCCCCTTGGAGACAGCTGGGGGCCCCTCAGAGACACCCGGGGGGCCCCAGGAGACACCTAGGGGCCCCACAGAGACAGCTGGGGGCCCCCAAGAGACACCTGGGGGGCCCTCAGAGACACCCAAGGGGCCTCCACAGGCACCTGAGGGGTCCTTAGAGACAGCTGGGGGGCCCCAGGAGACAGCTGGAGGGCCCCAGGAGACAGCTGGGGGCCCCCGGGAGAGAGCGAGTTGTGTGTGCAGCGTAGCAGAGATAGGGGGCGTGGTGTACAGCACAAAGCAGCACGCAAGAAGAAGGATAGAAGAACAGCAAGAGGGTTTGGGGGCCCCTCAATTTTTATCTCTTGAAAAGCTCCTGGGGCACTTATACTTCGAGCAGGGTGAATTCGAGTTAGCCATCAAAAGATACTGGAGGTAAACAACAGATTAGGGTTTAGGGTTTAGGGTTTAGGGTTTAGGGTTTGGGGTTTAGGCGTCCAGGATAGAGGGTATTGTGTCTAGGGTCTGGAGTTCCGGAGTTTGCGGCCTAGGGTTTAGGGTTTGGGGTTTAGGGTTTGGGGTTTGGAGTTTAGGGTTTAGGGTTTAGGGTTTGGATTTGTTTAGGGGGCTGCTGGGGCGCAGGGTTTAGGGTTTGCGTGTAGTTTGTATATATACTGTAAAGTGTAAACCCTAAACCCTAAACCCTAAACTATTTTCTTTATTGAATTGCTGCAGGGCTATCGACATTAACCCGAAAGACGCGCAGATGTTCAGCTCCCTGGGGCTCGCTTACTACGAGGTGCCTAAACCCTAAACCCTAACCTTAAACCCTAAACCCTAAACCCTAAGCGCTTCCTCGTAAACCCTAAACCCTCACGCCCTCGCAGTGCGGAAGACGCACGCAGAGGACACTCCGAGACTTGAACTTGTCACAGGTCTGGGTTTAGGGTTTAGGGTTTAGGGTTTAGGGTTTAGGGTTTAGGGTTTGGGGTTTGGGGTTTGTTATTTGCAAAGATCGAAGAACTGGCAAAAGCCGAAGCAGCATTTGAACACTGCATCAAACTGGACGAGAAGTAAGTCATTTAGGGTTTAGGGTTTAGGGTTTAGGGTTTAGGGTTTAGGGTTTAGGGTTTTCGCGTTTGTATATGTATCACTTGGATTTTTTGCTGGCCGTTGCGGAGGCCGTGTTAGTGTTAGTCTCTTCTCTAAACCCTAAACCCTAAACCCTAGGGTTTGCGGTATTAATGTGTCTCAGCAACACCACAGCACTCAGTGTCTTGGCGATGTTATTGTTAGACAAATCTGCAGAAGAAGATGAGAAGAGGTTTATGCAGCAGCCGCATGCATTTGGGGGTTTGTTTGCTTCTTACTGTCTCCTTTTGCTTCTTGCTGTCTCCTTTTGCTTCTTGCTGTCTCCTTGTGCTCCTTGCTGTCTTTGTTTGTTTATTGCTGTCTTTGTTTGTTTATTGTTGTCTTTGTTTGTTTCTGGCTGTCTCCTTTTGTCTCTATTTGCTTCCTTTTGTCTCTCTTTTGCTTTTATTGTCTCTGATTGTCTCTTTTATGTCTTTTTATTTTCGTCTGTCTCCTTTTGTCTCTTTGTGTCTCTTCTTGCTGTCTCTTCTTCTCTTTGTATCTCCCTCTATCTTTCTTTGACTTCTTTTGTCTTTCTTTGCCTCCTTCTGTCTCCTTCTGTCTTTGTTTATCTCTTTCTGTCTCCTTCTGTCTTTGTTTATCTCTGTCTATCTCCTTCTGTCTTTGTTTATCTCTGTCTGTCTCCTGTCTTTGTTTATCTCTGTCTGTCTCCTTCTGTCTTTGTTTATCTCTGTCTGTCTCCTTCTGTCTTTGTTTATCTCTTTCTGTCTCCTTCTGTCTTTGTTTATCTCTTTCTGTCTCCTTCTGTCTTTGTTAATCTTTTTTAATTTTCTTTTGTCTCCTTTTATGTCTTTTAATATCTTTTATTTATTTATTAATATCTTTTATTTGTTTTTATTTATTTTTATTTGTCTATTATATTTGTTTGTTTTGTTGATGTAGCGGAGGAGACAGGAGACAAAGAAAGAGAAGGAAAGCGAAAGAACGAAGAAGATGAAGAAGAGACAGATAAAGAAGGACAAGGAGACAGCAGCAGCAGCAGCAGCAGCAGCAGCA